GACTGGGGGTGGTCTGGGCCCCCAACTCTAGCCTACTGTCAGTTGTCTACAGGTGGGGCTACGGCAGCTGGATATGTCCCTGCTGTGCCAGCTGTGGGGCCTATATGAGTCGATCCAGGACTACAAGCATCTGTGCCAAGACCTGAGCTTGTGCCAGGACCTGTCATCCTCCCTTCACTCGGACAGCTCCTACCCACCTGATGCCGGCCTGTCTGATGATGACGAGCCTCCTGACGCCAGCCTGCCCCCAGACCCTCCACCCCTCACTGTGCCCCAGACACACAATGCCCGTGACCAGTGGTTGCAGGATGCCTTCCAAATCAGCCTCTGAAAAGCTGAGGTGGATAGCAATGCACCCATACAAAAGGCTCAAAAAAACTTGCCCTTCAGCAAGTCCTTAGTCGACAGTGCCTGCTCTTTTACCAGTACCACCTCACTTCACTTCAGGAGGGCAAGGCATATACCCATCAGGCAAAGTGGTCAAGACTGCAGCCAGTGCCAGTGGACTGGACTTCCCACTTCTCCCTCTTGTGTGCACCCCTAGCTTGGCCAGCCCTTAGTCTGACCGTGGGGTCCAAAGCGTCTTGCACTCCCGTTGGCATCTCTGGGACTGGGATGATTGCCTAGCTTCCATCTCTTTTTGTCTTTTGCTGCCACTTGCAGCTGCTGGCTCAGGGGCATCCCTACCTGTGGCCCCAGGGTTTCCCTCCCTGGGACTAGGACTCCAGGATCCACCCCTGCAGCCACCCACGGCCAGAAAGGCTAAGGTCTCTATGCTGGATATTTAAGTTTAGGGACCAGTTCCTGGATGAGAAAATAAATACTTTTCAATATTGTATTCTGATTGCCTGGTTGATTGGTACTCGGTTGGGAACACAGTCGTTGCTGGTAAGTGTGGTCCGAGTTCTGCCGGCAGGTGGCGCCCAAGACCTCTCAGTGAAAGGCGTAGGGCGCAGGGTGTGAAATAAATACTTTCAACATTGTATTCTGATTGCCTGGTTGATTGGTATTGGGTTGGGAATACAGTCGTTTCTGGCAGGTGTGGTCCGAGTTTTGCCTGCAGTTGGTGCCCAAGACCTAGTGAAAGGTGCAGGGCGCAGGGTGTGAAACTTACCTCTTCCGGCAAGGTTGGAAGCTTTCAGGCTGCTGGAGCCTGGCTCTGAAGCATGTAACAGCAGTTGAATCTCTTCCCCTGGGCTCTAAGCTTCGGAGCCCAGCTTCCCCTTTGCTTTCCGGGAAGGAAGGAGCCGCCCATCTTGAGGAGAGAAACTTTCCACCTCCAGTGCGGGGCGGAGTTGCAGCGGAACAGGAAATGGGTGGGCCAGCCAGCCCAGGGGCCCATCGGCATGAGTGGGGAAAGTTCCAAGAAGAGTCTTGGAGTTGGTGCCCCGTGGGTTGTAGGGAGCGGTCGTGGAAGGGAAAGGTGTAGAGGCCGAAGGGAGTGAAGTTTCTTCAGTGTATAGACAAGTCCTGGAAGCGAGACCGAAGCAGGGCTCAAACCATCGTTTCTAGAGACTCAGCGGTGAAAATTGGGGACCCAGGCACCTCTGTTGCAGTCTCAGACCACCCAGCCTCCCTGGGACCTCAGCACTAAGGACCTGTAGTGTCGTACACAAAGGGCTTCCTCGAGGAACCAGAGGACCCTACAGATGGGGTGGAGAGACAAACCGGGTGCCCGACCTACAAGAAGTCTCACATTGGCGAGGTTGCAGACAGGCACCTCATCCCCACTCCCTACTACAGTCGTTGCCGGCTGGAGATGCCACCCAGGTGGCACTCCTGGAAGACCAGTCCTTTCCAAACTGAGGGTTTACCAGATGTGTTGCTCTAGGGCACTTCTCTAACTGAGCGTAATACAACCTTGCAGAGGCTCATTACCATTCAAGTTGGATGGGTGAGTGATAAGGAGTCTAATCTAGGCGTTAACACCACAGGGGAGGAGGGAAAACACCCATGTACACATTTTCTCTAGCCCTGATAACGGGTTGCATTTAATGAGACATGGCAAAATTAGCCTGGCCCTATGCTAACTGCTTCCCCAGGTTTCAACCTTCTGTTACCATAAAAGATGGAACTATCCTTGGCCCCATTTAACAGACTTCAGAACTGAGGCTCACAGTGTTAGTGCTTTGTCCAAGGTGGCACTCTTGATTAGAAACCAGTATTTGAACCTTTCAGCGTTTGTGAGAATTGAGGACTTTTTTTCCCTCGTGCCTGCTGAGAAGTCAGATTTTGAGATACTAAGTGCATCCCACCAAGGCTGTCTCCTGACTCTGAACTTTTCTCTCTGGTTAAGAAGACATGGGTGTTAACAATAGTTTCCCACCCCAGAGCTAAGAACCGCTGGCTCTGGTCCAGTAAACTCTCAGAACTCCAAGCAAGCCCCTTTCCTTCCCAGGTCTCTGCTTTACCAGCTTGGGAAACGGGGTACCAAACAGTACCACAAGGTTGCAGGCGGGAAGGGAGGCGCCTTGGGCAGCTCTTTGGAGGGCAGCCCCAAGTTGAGGGCTGTCATCTCTTGAAGCGCACACGTTCTCCCCCCCACACCCCATCCGGCCCGCGGGCGCCCACCAAGACGGCTTTGCGGTCGGGACTCTTTCCCTCCACCCCCAAGCCGGGTGCCGGTGCCCCGGTCGCGAGGCTAGGTCCCGGAAGCAGGGTCGCCCCGCCCCGCCCGCGTTGCAGCCCCGCCCGCCTTCGGACGGGGGTGCGGCTCCAGGAAACGGCGCGCTCGCAGCTCTGAGCTCCGACCAACTCGACGCTCCGGGACCGCCCCGCAGATTCAGCTAGCCCACCCGGCGGACCCCAGCGGCCGCCCCAGCAAGCACGACCTAGATCCGAACCTCAGACACATCTACACGGACGGGGCAGACCAGACAGGATTAGCAGAAAGGGGCCCCAGAGATCATGGGGACCCTGACAGGGCCAGCAGTGGCGAGCAAGCGGGATCCCCGAGCCTGAGAAGTGGGCGGCAAGAGCTGCTAGGGCCATGACTTCAGTGTGGAAGCGCCTGCAGCGGGTGGGCAAGAGAGCAGCCAAGTTCCAGTTTGTGGCGTGTTACCATGAACTGGTGTTGGAGTGCACCAAGAAATGGTGAGTAGAAAGGAGGTCTGAGGGAGGTCCCCAAGATTGGTGTGCGACTCCATTTAGCTGGATCTGTTTGAGCCTGAGAAAAACGCCCCAAGTCTAACGGCTAAAGGGGTTCCCATCCTAGGTGTATCTTGCAGCTTGTGGGTGACTCCAGGAGTTGAGAGGTGTGGAGAGCCTTGTTGGGGGCAAGACTCACAGGCAGAAGAATCTGTGCTCACATTTAAATCAGCTGTGGTGAGGACTGGGGGAGGAGGCTTCATTCCTCAAGCCAAGAGCGGCAGATTCAGGGTGGTAGTGGAAAATGGAACAAGTTTTGAGGTCTCCAGGTGGCCAAGGCCAGGACAGACTTCATGGAGCCTAGTCAAGTTCACAGTGAAGATGTGGCCTTCTCTTTTTCTGCCCCTCCCCCTTCAGCCAGAGTGGGCCTCAGAGGCTAGAGATGTCTCCACAATGTCCTTAAAAGGGGAAACTGAGCTTGGAGGGATGAAGAGGGAGGCGGGGAGAGGCTTAAAGGGGCCTGAGGTCCTAGGGGTTGGTGGGTCCAGGAGAGGGTCTGTGCAGGGAAACCTAGTCAAATGAGGGGACAATCGCACAATTGCAGTCAGGCCTTGCCTTAGACTGTCAAAGGGCCTTGGGGGTATCTGGCTCACATTCCCCCGGGGCAGCTGCCCAGGCCCCTGCGTCACACCCTAAATATATGTGCTCACTAGTGTCAGCTTCCCTTGGCTGGATTAGGGCACAGCTGTGGGGGCCTCACAGGCCAGGCAGGGCTAAATATAGAGTCCCAAGGGGGAAGAGCAGGGGTAGGCTGGAACCATGGGGTCTAAAAGGGAGGGGAATGAACAGAGGCTGGGGTCTTTGGTGCAGCCACTATTAATCTCTGGCCTTGTACATGCTGGGCCTACTGGGAGGCCCTTTATACAGTAGAGGCTGAGGGAGAATAAGAGCTAGTTGGGGTAACAGCAGAGCTGGCACTTGAACTCTGGCCTCTGGTTCCTGCCCCAGCATTCTGGGTGAGGCTAAAGGGACGCTGGGCATGGTCTGGCAAGTAGACAGAGGGTGCAGACAGTGTCAGTGGGCTGAGTCACAAGCAGCAATGGGTAAGGCCAGCTGGGCTTCTTAGCCAGGAGCCCAGGACAGGAAGCTGCCCCTGCCTAGGTCACAGCTTCCCAGGAAGGCGTGCCTGCTGTCCTGAGTCAGGCTGCCCAACCAAGCCACACCCTCCCAAGGCACCCCTGCTGTTTCCCTTTTCTGGGAAGGCCTTGCTGGGCCATTGCCTGTGGTTTGGGGCTGGGAATGGTTGCTTACTTCTGGGTCAGAGGACTCTAGACTCAGCTGTGTGACCTTATCTGGCCTACTTCTCTGTGTCTCAGAAACCTGAAGGGTTAGGAGCAAACCGCGTGTCCTGCCTCAGCCTCCAGAGAAGCAGTGAGTTCGGCAGACCTAAGCATCCAGGCATGGGGCTGGAAACAGGCAGGGAAGGAAGGCTGCCATGATGCCTCCACCTGATCCTTTCCTGGACCAACCCCACCTCCTAGGCAGTGGTTAGACACTAACCCCAAGAAGCCCTGCCCCCAGGGCCCAGCCACGTGTCAGCACCTTGTCAGGGACCAGCCCTGTGCAGCTCCCTCCTTGCTTGTCTCTCTGCCTTTACACCTGTCTGCCTCTCTGGAGACTGCAACACAAGCTTGCTGTTCGGCTTTGCTGTTCTTGCCTGGAAGTTTCCTCAGACTTCCCTTGGCTCCATTGTCTTTGTCCCTTCAGAGCAGTGGTCAGTGGATCTGGATTTCAGGAAATAGGAGTCCTGCCTGACCCTCCTTAGGGGCAGTGAATACAGCAAAGCACAGTATGGGGGTTATCTAGCGTCGAGCTAACCCTGTGCTTCTCTGGCCTCATTCTCTCCATTTGTCCTCTCTGCCTCTGCCGCTCCCCTAGCCTCAGATCCCTGTACTTGGCTAGTTCATCCACTGGAGCCTTTGCCGAAGATCAGCACACAAAACCCACCTTCTTTGTGTCCTGTCTCTGCTCAGATACCCAGCCTCAAAGAGACATCAGGCAGGCTCTTTTACAGCCCCCTAAAAGTCATTACTAGTTTATTTTCTTATACACACACACAGAACGAGAGAGGGGAGAGGAGAGGAGAGGAGAGGAGAGGAGAGAGAGAGAGAGAGAGAGCTAGAGAGGGGAGAGGAGAGGAAAGGAGAGGAGAGAGAGAGAGAGAGAGAGAGAGAGAGAGAGAGCAGGCTGCCCTTGAACTCACAGACCTGCTTCCATCTGCCTCCCAAGTGCTAGCATTAAAGATCTGCACCACCAAGCCAGGCATATTTCTATTGTGTCTTTCTTGACTTCAAAGGGTCTTGCCTCAACCAGAGTCTCTCTTCTCCTTTACTTTGCCTTTAGAACAAGCTGAGCTCCAGAGGCACTCCACAAATATTTGTGAATAAATGAACTTCTTTACCACCAAGGCTTTGTCTTCCCATGTTTCTGTGTGTGCATACATGTGTGCATGTGACTTTTCCTGTCTGTCACTCTTTTTCAAAGGCCCTTTTGGGGCATGATGTCCCAATCTCCACTGTCCAGGCCTTTGCCCTTCGGTCCCTGCCCCACCCTGCCTGAGCAGCCCCACCCTACACTCTGTGACTCCAGATAAGAAGCTGCCCATGCCCTCTCTTTGGGAAGAGGATCAGGGGAGACCCCAGGGAGCTAGGGAAAGGAGGAAGAGAAGATGGGGAAGCTGGATTGGGTCTGGCTAAGCAGCTCTTCCTTTCTTCCAGGCAGCCAGACAAACTGGTAGTGGTATGGACTCGCCGGAACCGACGCATCTGCTCCAAGGTGAGAAGGATTGGCACCTGGAGGTCCAGGTTGGGAGGTAGGGCCAAGGGAAAGGTAGATGGGGAGTGTAATTAGGTTCAAGCAGTCATAGCAGTGTCTACAGAGAGAAAAGAAGATTTGGGGAAGAAGGTAAGGGCCTGATGGTGATGAAGAGTTGAGACTCAGGGGAGGACTCCCTACTGCCTCTTGCAGGCCCACAGCTGGCAGCCTGGCATCCAGAACCCATACCGTGGCACGGTAGTGTGGATGGTCCCTGAGAACGTGGACATCTCTGTGACCTTGTACAGGGTGAGTCTCTAGAGCTTGGGCATAGACAAGAATAGGCAGAAAAGAGCAATCTCTACTGGTGGGTTGTTCACCACCCACTTGAAAGAACCAAGTGGTGGGACCAAAATTTTGTGGGTTTATTGCAAGTAGCTGAAGAGATCTTGGAGGAGGCAGCATTTACCCAACCTGTAGTAAGGAAGTCACCTGGGATCAGAAGCCAGGCACAAGGACTGAGGAGCTGGCTCAGCAGTTAAGAGCACTTGCTGTTTTTCCAAAGAACCTAGTTCCATTCCCAGCCCACACATGGCAGCTCACAGCTACCTGTAACTCCAGTTCCAGGGGATCCAAGGCCGCCTTCTGTCCCATAGGGGCACTGTGAACACATGTTGCACAGACATACATGCTGGCAAAGCACCCACACACATGAAATCAAAATAATTATTTTAAAAAGAAAAAAGGAGTCAGAGTGCAGGGCTGGCTGGAGATGTAGCTCAGTTGGAGAGCATGCTTGTGAAGTTTGGGGTACAATCCAGTACCACATATGTACACTGAGAAGCCAAAGTGCTTTCCAGGAGGGAGCAGCAGGTGTGAAGGCCCCGCCCCACCCCCAGCCAGTACAGACTGTTCTGGCATTGCCCTCCTTGGAACCCAGTGCTCACCAGTACTCCCCTCTCTAGGACCCTCATGTGGACCAGTATGAAGCCAAAGAGTGGACTTTTATTATTGAAAACGTGAGTGTCTTGGTAGGTTGGACCTGAAATCTCAGGGACCTTGGGACAGCGCTGACGCTGCTTCTGTCGTTTCCCTACCTCTCCCACCCACAGGAGTCCAAGGGACAGCGGAAGATCCTGGCCACAGTTGATGTGGACCTGGCCGGCCATGCAGGGCCTGTGCCTGCTCAGGTTCCACTTCGACTGCGACTGAAGCCCAAATCTGTGAAGGTGGTGCATGCTGAGCTGAGCCTCACCCTTTCTGGGGTGCTGCTGCGTGAGGGCCGTGCCACGTAAGTCTCCACCTGTCCTCCCAGACCCTGGCCTGTGATCTCTGACCCCAGCCCTCACCCTTGACTTCAAACCCACAGGGATGATGACATGCAGAGTCTGGCCAGCCTCATGAGTGTGAAGCCTAGTGATGTGGGCAACTTGGATGACTTTGCTGAGAGTGATGAGGATGAAGCTAATGGCCCTGGGGCTCCTGAGGTCCGGGCACGTGGCCCCCAGTCAGGTGAGCTCACAGTCATCTATGGGTTGAGACTGCCAAGACCTTTGATGGATCACAAGTGCTGGTTGTTCTGGGGCAGAGCTGCCTTGTGCACACCCAAAGAGAGGTCCTCATTACAGCAGCTCTAACGTGTCCAGCAGCTCTGCTTATACAAGCTTGCTCTTGGTCCTGTGGGTGCATCAGTCTTGAGCAGAGTCCTGTAGAATGGGTCCCCAATATCTCCCCATGTCCCTAGCCATCACATCCTGGGGTGGATGCCCATTTGGTCCCTAGCATGGAGGGACCCATGGAGTGTGGGGCTCTCCTGGTCTCCTGCCCTCAGCCAACCTGCCTTCCTCCCTCTGCTTTCCCTCCCATCTCCTCCTTAAGCCTTTTGTCCTTTGTTTTTGCGGTTCTTTCTCACTCTTTCTCTTTCTGCATCTGTGGGCCTGCGGTCTTCTCCAAGGCCGCGGCTGTGCCCTGAGACTGGGACGTTTCCCAGGTAGGCCCTGAAGTCTAGTTGGGGATCAGAGTTGGGCTCAAACTGTAGAGTCCTGCCTTGGCCTGACTATACCCCTCCAATGGATCCTCTCAGACCTCTCTCGGGAGCTGAAGACACTCTGTGAAGAAGATGAAGGCCACAAAGGGCCCCAGCAGGCAGGTAAGACTTGGCCTGAGACTGGGGTTGGGGACTGGACCTATGTCACAATGCAGTCCTCAGCATCCCCTCCCTTTCCCCCTAGCTGCCAGATCCTGTAGTGCTGAAGAAGCCAGCCCTGCCCCTGCGAGTGCCCCTGCGCCCCCTGCCAGGGCCTCCCGGGGCCAGGGGTCAGAACCAGCTGCTATAGCCGGGGGCCAGGTGGGACCTGAAACCCCAAGGCCCCCACAATCCCCACCAGAGACAGGGTAAGGAACCAGATCTGTTGCTGTTAGAAGCAGATGCACCCCTGCGCCCATCCCCACCCTCCTCTCCAGGGCTACAGCATTGTCAAGGGTGGTGTAGAGGTGGGTGTGGGTCTCAACAGGAGACCACCACAGCACTTGTTCTTGCTCTTTCCTCAGGTCCACCAGGCAGCCAGACCAGGACATGGTCCCCACCCCAGCCCCTCGACTCCGGAAAGGCTCTGATGTATCCCGGTCCCCAGTCCCCTACAGGGGGGAAGAGGACCCCAATACCTCAGAGGATCCTCCAACAGGAGTGGGTTCTTCTGGGGAGACCCAGGTCCAGATAAGCTCTCAGGGAGAGGCAGAGGCCAGTGGAACTGAGCCAGAGACAGACACTGAGGGCAGAGGCTCCAGGGATGCCCTAGGAAGAGAAAGATCTGAAGCTGAAGAGGGGGACACTGGGGACAGGCCAAAGGCTAGTGGGTCAGGAAGCAGAGAGAAGAACACTAAGGAGCCATGCCTCACAGCTGGAGAGGCTGAAGAGAGTTCAAAACTTCCTCAAGTAGATGCTGAGCAGAGGTCAAAGGTACATGTAGCCGTGGAGGGGCCAGAGGCTGCAGGGCTGGTGCCTAAGGCAAGACTCTGGGAACCTCCCGAGGCTCCTCCTAGGAGTGCTCAGAGGAGGATGGGGGTAACGACCCAGGAAGAGGCTCCCAGTGACCCGAACCAATCTCCAGCTGAGCCTGAAGGGCATGTAGGGCCCCTCAGGGGTGCCATGCCTGCAGGCCAGGAGAGAGAAAGCATGGAGGTCAGGGGCAGAGCCCCTGTTAGTGAGAGGACAGGCCTGGAGCAGGGCCCCTCTGCTGGAGCAGCAAGTGCTGGGGCCCAGGGGAGTGGATTTCACAAAGTCCCATCAGTTGGCCAGGAGGCAAAGGTTGGGGAGTCAAGGGTTCCGGAAACAGAGACTGAGTGGGTGCCAGGGAAGGTTATAGGGATGCTAAATACAGATGTTGGGAGACCTGAGTCCCCAGAAATAGAGACTGGTACAGCAGAATCTGAAGTATTGGAGGCCCAAGGGTCAGAAGCAGCAAGATCAGAGGTCCTGGAGCCAGAGGCTACTGGAACAGCACAGTCTGAGGTATTGAGGAACCAGGATAAAGAGATCGGGGTTCTGGGGATGCTGAGGACAGGGGCTGAGATAAGGGAGTCTGAGGAATTTGGGATCAAGAAAATAGTTGGAGATTTTACAGTTCCAGGTACCAAGACAGTGACAGAAACTGAGATATTGGAAGCCCAGGAGGTAGCAGATGGGGGAGCTGGTATACTGAAGGTTGAAGAGGTTGAGATACTGGGAACCCCAAAGACAGTGGCTGGGGAGGCAGAAGCTGGAATACTGGAGACCCAAAAGATAGCAGCTGAAGGTTCAGAGGCTCCAAAGGTGGGGACAGAGATGGCAAAGTCTGATATATTGGGAATGCAGGAGACAGAGGTGGGAGCTTGGAGTATTCCAAGGACAGGGACTGAAGCAACAGTGACTGAGATATTGGGGACCCACAGAATAGCATTTGAGGGTTCAGGGTGCCCACAGATACAATCCAGAATAGTAGAGACTCAGGAGACAGAGGTGGGGGGTTCAGAGGTTTCAGTGACAGATACAGTTGAAGATGTCATACTCCAAAGTCATGGAGTACTTTGGGTAGAAGCTGAGAAACCAGAATCCAAGATTGAAGGGTCCCTGGAGATAAAGGAAGGAGACTTCAGGATTCTGGAGGTAGACACTGGGCCAGTGGAAGCCAAGATCTTAGAGGCTCCAAAGATAGCAGCTGGGGTTTTTGAGGTGCCGGGAATAGGAACTGAGGGAGCCAGGGCCTTGGAAACAAAGGCTGGCTCTTCAGAAGTCCCAGAGACAGAAGCCAAAGAGGCTGAGATACTGGAGGTCAAGGAGCTATCTGGAGGTTCTGTGGCACTGAGAATAGTGGCAGAGATAACAGAATCTAAGATGTTAGGGGCCCAGAAGACAGAGGTGGAAGACCCTGAGCTGTCACAGACAGAGGTTAGAGGGGCAGAGGCTAAAGTGCTGGGGACTCAGAAAATAGCATCTGAGGGTGCAGGAGTTCCAGGGATGGAAGCTAAAATGGAAGAGTCTGAGGTCTCGATGGCCCAGGAGACAGAAATGGAGATTTGGGAGGTCCCAGAGGTAGAAACCGTGGATGCTGAGTTATTTGGGACACAGAAGGCAGAAATAGGTTTAGAGACCCCAGAGTTAGAAACAGAGACAATAACGTCTGAGATTCTGGAGGCCCAAGAGACAGAAGTAAGGGAGTCAGGGCTTCTGGGAACAGAGAGTGAGGTAGCAGAAGTGGTGGTGCCGGAGACCCAGAAAATAGAGGCTGAGGTAGCCAGGGCCCAAGAAATAGAAGCAGGGGATTCTGTAATCTCCAGGCCAGAGGCTGGAACAGCAAAGGCTGAGGTACTGAGGGCTCAGTGGACAGAAACTGTAGTTTTGGAGTCTGAGGAAGCAAAGACCGACACTTTGGGGGTCCAGGAGCCTGGAGCTTGGGGAACTCTCAAGTATGAGGCCTTAAGTGTTGCAGTGGCTAAGCAAAGATTTTCTGGGGCTGAGGGAATAGCATCAGAGGTATCCAGGGTACAAGAGACAGAAAGTAAAGTTTTGGGGATAGTAGAGGCCAAGTCTTGGACAGTGGAGTTGCAGGAGGCAGAGAGGGAGGGGTTTGAGTCTCCAGAGAATAAATCTGATATTTTTGAGGCCCAGGAAGCAGAATCTGGGGTCTTGGGAACCGTGAAGGGAAAAGAAGCTGATGAAAGCCTGGAAGAGGCCAGCCTGACTAAGGCACAGGTGGCCAGTGGGGCAGGGACTGGGGTACCCAGGCCTTTGGGGGCCTCTTCCCCAGAGGAGCCTGAAGAGGACAGGAGGCTGCTGGGCAGCCAGGTAGGGATGGGGGCCACTGATAGCCAGTCTGCTTCTTCCACTAACCTGGGGCTGAGTGCACAGTGGCTCTGCATGGACCCACATGGTAGACTGAGATGTGGTTTTGGAGGGGAGGGGATTCAGCTTCAAGAAGGTCCCTCAGGATGCCCTGGCCCTTTCACCCTGCTAGGCTGCATGGAGCTGGATACCCTTAAGCTGATTTTCTGGGCTCACTTTTGAGGTGTGGCTGCTGTTGACCTCTGACCTCTTAGGTGACCTTGGCAGATAACTTCCTTACCCCAAGCTGGAAACCCAATGCCCTGACCAGTGGTCTCTGATGATTCTTGCAAACTCAGAGCTGGGGTGGTTTTATGCCAGGCCTGAGCTTCTCCAAAGGGCAGAGGACAGAAGTCATTAGAATACCCTCTGAACCCACCTTTGTGTCCCCAGGCACCATCTGCCCTGGTCAGCTCCAGCCAGTCCCTGTTGGAGTGGTGCCAAGAGGTCACCAGAGGCTACCGTGGTGTCTGCATCACCAATTTCACCACATCTTGGCGCAACGGCCTGGCCTTCTGTGCTATTTTACATCGATTCTACCCAGACAAGATGTGAGCTGCCAGGGATACCGGGATGGATGGGGAGTGAGCCTGCAGGGACACCAGTGCCATCCATTTCTTACCAGCTCTCTCTCTCTGCAGTGACTATCTCTCCCTCGACCCACTCAACATCAAACAGAACAACAAACAGGTGAGATGAGGAGGGAGCCATGGCTGAAGAAAGGGTCTAAGCTAGAGATTCAGGCTGCTGGCCTGAGAATTGGAGAGTCAAATCTTTTTGGTTATTAAATCGTTTGTTTGCCCTAGTTTTGTTTTGGTGTTTTTAATTTTAAAAGCATATTTTTCCTAGATCTTTTTTTTTTTTTTTTTTTTTTTTTTTTTTTTTTTTTTTCAAAAAAAT